GAATAACAGCATTCATGCACAGCATTGGCCTGAGAACTGTGGTGGCATGTTTACATGTCTCCAGCATAACCCCCTGTTTTCACTCACTACATCTTTTTGAAGCATGAGCATTTTGGACTTCAGTTCTGCTCATTCCCTCATAAAAAGGAAACTTCTTGAGTAGGTCTGAGGAGGATGCTGGCAGCTCTCATTGAATTATGGAAGAATGATTAGAAAAAACAGTTTTCCCCACAACCGCCCCCCACCATTCACCACGTTTTTAGATATGACTTGAATGAAATACAGCTGACATTGACACGCGAAGTCTGAAGAAGGCACAGCCCTCTGTGGAAGCGTGCACTTTTGTTATTTGTTTTTGGTTGGTTGGTTTTTTGTTAGGGGTTTTTTGTTTGTTTTTTTTTTTTCTTTTAGGTGAAGATTGATCAGCTGTTCATATTCAGGTTTTGAAGTGTGCCTATCATAACACAAATTAAGTGAACAATAAAAAGATTAAAAACATGTGATCATAAATAAAATGGGACTGAATATCAACAGTGACACAAAGAGCACTCCCCACTGGGTATTTTAACAAAGTCCATCCTCACCCCACCCATCCTTTCAGGAAGAGCCTGGGTAAATAGAAAGACTTTCTGAGAGCACAGAAGGCCAACAAATGCAGCTTTTATAGACTGAGTCTGGCAGTGAAATTTGTCATTGAGGACATTTTACTGACATCCTCTGTCTGACATAAATTTGGAGACACACAGGATGACAGATGTCACTTCAGCTGCTGTGGGCTTACGCAATGARGGGCAGAGGTCTTAGAAGTAGGTTAGCTTGCAATCTGGAGGTGCAGTTTGGTACAGGAATGAATGATCTCATTTCTTGGGGTGGACCACAGACTGGTTTTGTCTGTAATTCATGCAAAGGCTTCTAGATAACAAACTTGTGTGGGAAAGAACTTGTTGAATGGGTACAGTTGTGTCTAATTCAGGTCCATATGAGGGCACTGCTAAGAATGCAAGGTGTTTTTGCACGCATGAAAACCAGGCAGACATTTGAGTGAACCACGCAGGAAAGAAGAGGTAGATATGAGCTGTCTGCCTAAGTTGAAAATCTTAAAGGCTTTTGTTCTGTTTGTAATTTTTTCATGTGTTTCTGGCACTCTTGAAATGGAGTCTAAGTTCAGATCCACAGCAATTATTTCTCCCTGCCTCTTCTAGAAAGGGGTAGTGTGATCCAATTCAAATTAGGTAGGTTTTTCTTTACTGATGTGAAAAAAAGAAAAAGAATTTAGATTCATCATATTTACTTATGACTCACTGAGGGCAGATTGTACTGCAAATCATGAAGTTTCTCTTTAATCAGAATACACACAGTTAGAACAGGATCTTGCCCTATCTTTATAAATTGCCTACTGTAGCAAGCTCATGAGCTTGATCAGGAGATTTCGGTGCCATCATAATTCAGACAATAGTAATAATGTGGTATCACTGGGCAAGAAGCACTGAACTCCAAGATCCTTACATAATGCTTGAACTGATTTGCGGTTTCAAGTGGAAACCAGTTGAAGCTGGATTGTATGAAATGGTTTCAGCCCCATAATCATCCCAGCTATTACCAAATTTCTTGCTGGGTTATAAATTTATATAAATTCGGTGTTTGGTGTAAAATACAGAGTACTGAATCTCTCTGAACAAGATCTAAGGCAGATGGCCACATCTCCTSTGTTCCCAATCCAGCAGATTTATTTTCCACTCAAGCTTGTGAAGTYCTCCCATTCAGTCTGAGGGCAAACGTTTTTAGGCTTAGATAATCAGGAGATTTGTTGCTGAGTTCTGCAGATTTGGTATTTCAGTCCTGGAGATATAAATCTGTCCTACCTACTCAACAGGGCAGAACATCTGTTGGTACTTGTTGTCACTACCCAGCATGGTGGTAAGTGTCCTTTCACACAGACGAGCTCAGTCTCCCGTATTGGAGTTGTGCTGTATGGGAAAGACGACAGACTCAGCACTAAAGCTTTGCTAGAACAGCTTCCCAATAATGCACAGAGATTACGCTGCTTTTTCTCATGTCACAAATACAGAGAAGATAACTGGCCGAAGAGTAGACACAGCTGATTTATTTTTAACTTGATGTTTAGACCAARATCGTGTTATCTTTGATAACAAGGTCTAGGATGGTTTCCAAGTCATCATCTTTYCTTCCCTGTGATGAGCTYGGTTGGAGCRGGATGCTAATAATGCCAAGGTTGTGGATTTGATCCCTGTATGGACCRTTCACTTAACAGTTGCATATGATGATCCTTGTGGATCCCTTCAAACTCAGGATATTCTGTCATCTGAATATTTAAGAAGAGCTGTTGTATGAACTCTTAGAGATATGTGGTCTCATTGCCTGAGAACAGGCAATTATCTGGAACAGCTGATTGTGGAGAGACACTTACCTGCAAAGACTTTGAGYAGTTGTGTGCAAGGTGACAAATGGTTATAAGTTTAGTTTAATTTAGTTGCTGCATGTGTGCTGGGCAGCAGAGCTGCTCTCCAAGGGAGGAGACCCAGCACAGGCCAGTGGGGATCATCAGATTTCCATCTGCCTGAYAAACAGAGTGGAAATCTTGGAGACATACTTTTTACTGTTTATTTACTCTTGGTCTGAAGAATGTCAGATGGTATAGGCAAGTAGAAGATAAGCTCCAAAGAGCTCCCAAATTGATTTTGCTTGTGATGGATTGCTACAGAGATCGGTAACAGTGGGAGAATGAGGGTCACTCTTTACACTCCCAGTGAAAGCAGCGTCACCATAATTGTAAGGAAAACATGAAACAGATCGCTWAAAAAACTGCAATTAGTTGTCCTGTGACTGTTTCCAGGTTGCTGGGCATGTTCCATGAATCAGTGCTGGTGAGCAGAAATGAATACTTAAGGTCCTTCTCCAGGATGGACCCCATCCCTGGTGAACTTGCTCGCTGCAGGAATTGCTGTGATGTGTAGAATCCACGCAATRGATATATTTAGAAGCAAATTGAGAGACACTGTCAGCTTTTTTTTACAGATGATCGATGTGATAAGTGTCCAAGGACAGGAAGTACATCTGTATAATGGATAAGATTTTGTGGGAATTTTTTGCTTAGTATATTATTTTTATTTCCTTTTTTAATTTGCTGAGCAACTGGTGTTTTAAAAAAGGCATTTTAWAGAGGCTTTTAAAAGCAGTTGTTCTCCTTGCTGTGTTCTGTGTGGGTACGGAGAGTGGGATAAAYTTCTTCATCCTTGTGTGGTCTCACTGCAAAGACAAATCCCGAGCTACAGACACTGGGTATTGAATCACTTGTGGCCATTACCCAGCTGCTGCAGGCTGGGAGCAGTGTGTCCTCTCCTGTGCCCTCTCCTGGACTTCAGGGCTGAAAAGGTCATAGGCTTCTTGCAGCCTGAACATCTTAATAATGAGGGGGGTGTCTGTGGTCAGTTTAGTAATGCAGTTTTATTCCACAGTCTCTTTCCTGTGGAAATTAAAGACCCCACTGATTTATTATTGTATTCACATCCTTTCTGTTCTAGACCTAAATAAAATGTTGATAGCCCTTGAAGTTGCTTACAAATGGTAGAAAGTGTTTTTCCTTACCTTCTCTGCTTCACCTGTAGTGCTTTTAATTTGTCTCTTTCCTTTCTTTCTAATCCTCCACTGTAATCTTTGTTGCTCATGGCTTGCACTCTTTTTGAGAGGAGTTGTTTCTGTAAAGAAAAGGTTGCAACTTGAAGCAGAGCAGGAAAGTAGCAAATCAAATTCTTTGGTGCACTGAGGATGAAAATGCTGTTCTAGGACTGGCAAGTGGCTTGRCTATGTTGTACACTTTAAATTCTTGAAGCAAAATTGGGGTAATTGAATCCCTGCTGAACCTGAACCTATACTTTCACCCTTCTTTCAGCAAAGGAGAAAAGTAGTATCAGAGCATGGTGACAGAAGAGGCTTCGGCCCAAAGAATCTGATTGATGGCTRAATCAGAATGGTGTCGTTTCTTTTCATGTTAAAATATTCTTTGCAATACAAACATTATCTGTACTTGGTCTTCCTCAGCACAGAACTCTGAGATTTTTCTCTGTTCATAGCTGTATTGCAAACTCAGATGTGTGATTGGTAAGGAAGGGAGACTTCTTAACTGTGATGTATCAGACCACTGCCAGAAGCMAAGTAAATGAATGTCCTGACTGGTCTGGCACGTGTTCGCTTCCTAATTCACTTTCCCTGCACAAAACGATAAGAGGAATGCAGGCCTCTCCCTTTATCTCACGCAGTAATAACCTCAGCAAAGATTTCAATGGGACACAGGATTATTAGGATTGTAAGGTCTTGCTTTTCTTTTCAAGTAGGATGAAACTAAATGCAATCATCTGTTGGGTTAGATGAATACAATGGGTTCTCAGCTGTAGGTTTTCATCGCTGCAGTGATCTTGTGTTATTTGGCCTGGCAGGGCTCTGGGCTCGCAAAAATTTTGTGGGTGTCAGATGTTTGGCACTGAGAACTGACCATTGAGAGCTCTTGTCTTACTTGTGTCTCCTGCTTTCTAGTCTTTAAAGGTTAGAATACTGTTACTATTTTCAGCATGTGATATTTGGAGGAGACTAATTAAAAGCTGGTTTGCTGTGTCCAACTTCAGTTGCGTGGGCCTGAGCAATAGTCTGCTCAAATGCTGCTTGAGTGCTCCGACAGGATTGTGGGGCAGGCTGGCAGGATGTGTGCTCAGCTACAGAGCTGGGCTTTYATGGAGTCAGCTGGTGGTGTGGTGTGGCTGCTGCCTTCACTGGGACTATTTTGTCAAGTTCACTTCTGAGAAACAAAAGAAAACCAGTGTTTGAAATCATGCATCTCAGTTTTCACAGCGTATTTTCTTAACAACATGTAGAGCAGCCACTGTAGCCATGCTTCCTGTGCTCTAGAAAACTGCTTTTTGTGATTTTTTTCATTGTTTTATATGCTACAGTGCCTTTATTTCCTTATCCCTAATGCTCTGTTGCAGGCTGTCCTACCAGAGAAATGATGATGATGATGAAGAAGCTGCCAGGGAACGTCGCAGACGGGCTCGGCAGGAGAGGCTGCGGCAAAAGGAAGGAGATCTCTCAGGAGAAGTAACAGAGAAATCAGAAGTCCAAAACAGGTAAATGTTTGATGTTGTTTGCTGACAAGTCAGTGTTAATTTTTGTTCAAAGTCCAGAAGTATTTGGAAGAGGTTTGCTTTGGTGCTTGAATTTTAAGTCCTGGGTTTGGCCATCGTTAAACTGAAGCWGGCCCCAACACTGACGATCACCTCTGGCTGTGTTTGCACAGTAGGGTGRGAGCATCACTGACTCTGGGTCTGAGGCCACACTCACAACACGTATCCAGGTGTCCTCAAGGCTGTCTGTGGGGCAATTCAAATGGGGCCATGGCATGGCTGCATCTTGCCTCACAAACCACCACATCTTCTGTCCTGCTCACAGCGGTGATGGCATCGTGGGCCCAAAGCACACGAGCCTGGAAGGCACCCAGTCTTCAGGCTCTAGCTGCAACATGCTGGCAAGGTGCTGGATGTGAGCCCCAGACCACAGCACTCATCTGGCACTGTCAGTGACAGACAGCTGTAAAGAGCAGAAAAGGAATTAATATGGAATGAGGTGACACTTAAAATCACAGGATCATCAAGGTTGGAAGAAACCCTTAAGGTCATCAAGCCCAACCGTCTACTCAGTACTGTCCCTGTAAGCCTGAAAGCATTAACCCATATCCCTCATATCACCAACCATTTGTGGCCTTCCAGCTATCAATCATTTGCTTAGTTCCACACAGTCACAAGTAATATACCCAGATTTCCAGTGTCTGTAACACAATTGATAGAAGAAAYCAGAAATAAACATTGTGGTAGCAAGCGCTAATGGATACTGAGATACAAGATGGATACTTGGATACAAGAAGCATTTTATTTAAGGCAAGGAGAATGGATGTAGATAAGAAAACAGCAGCTAAATTTTGAAATAAGTAACCCTTTTGTTTTTTTTCAAACCACAGAATGATGTTAGAGCAAGCTTTTTTCCTAGAAACAGTGAAGTGGCATGTGTTGTTAGATTTTTTTTTTTATTTTTTAATGCAAACCTGTCCCTTTTACAGTGTGGCCGGGGAGGAAAGCAAGCGTTCTACAGATGATGAAGCTGCRTTGTTGGAGAGACTGGCAAGACGGGAGGAGAGACGCCAAAAACGTCTGCAGGAAGCCCTGGAACGTCAAAAGGAACTTGACCCCACGATCACAGATGGGAGCTTGTCAGTGCCCAGCAGGAGAGAAGTAAACAATGTGGAGGAAAACGAGACCACTGGGAAAGAGGAGAAGGCTGAAACACGGCGAGGACGATATGAGATTGAGGAGACAGAAACAGTTACCAAATCSTACCAAAGGAACAACTGGAGGCAAGATGGGGAAGAGGAGGAAAAAAAAGAAGATAAAGACAAGGAGGAGGTACAGGAGGAGAAACCAAAGGAGCTCCCGGTAGAGGAAAATCAGGTAGATGTGACAGCAGAAAAATCTGCAGAGGCAGTAACTGTAAATGCAGAGGAACACAAAGCAGAGAATGATACAAATGCTGTGCCAGAAGGGACGCAAAGTATAACTGATGCTGTAGATGAAAATAAGCTTAAGGATGAGGAAAAGGCTGAGGCWGAAAGAAAGGAAGCAGAAGAAAGGGAGAGGTTAAAAGCAGAGGAAGAAARGAGGGCAGCTGAAGARAAACAGAAAGCAGAGGAAGAAAAGAGGGCAGCTGAGGAGAGGGCTAAGGCAGAAGAGGAGAAGAGGGCAGCTGAGGAAAGAGAGAGGGCTAAAGCAGAAGAGGAGAGGAGGGCAGCTGAGGAAAAACAGAAAGCAGAGGAGGAAAAGAGGGCAGCTGAGGAAAAACAGAAAGCAGAGGAGGAAAAGAGGGCAGCTGAGGAAAAACGAAAAGCGGAGGAAGAGAAGAGGGCAGCTGAGGAAAAACGAARAGCAGAGGAAGAGAAAAGGGCAGCTGAGGAGAGGGCAAAGGCAGAAGCAGAAAAGAGAGCAGCTGAGGAAAAGGCTAAACTAGAAGCAGAGAAGTTGAAGGAAAAACAAAAGATGGAAGAACAGAAAATAGAAGATCAAAAAGCTCAAGCAGCTTTCTTAAAAAAACAGGTACAGTAAACATTGTGCACCAAAATAAGACACCTGTGGTTTGTGTGAAATGTAATGCAAGAAAAGATTGAATTTGAATTTCCTCACAGATCTAGTCCRGTACTGATATTACTAATACTTGCGCTGTCGCTCTCTCTTTTAAAAAATAAACCACCTTCTGCTTAGCAATAACTCAGTGCACAACAGGCCTGACCTCACTGCATAATTCAAAGGAAACCTTGCATGTTCAGACCTCTGCATGGGTTTTTGCTGCCTTTTTTTCTCACCTTCTCTAAAATGGCCTAATGCAATAACACATGAGGTGGAGGCAGACACATCTCAGCACAAAATATTACGAGCACCTGTTAAACTGTGTGAGGAATGCTGTGTGCTAAATGCAGTCACAAGAAAGGGCTCTGTACTGGGACATGTGAGCATGATGCCATGCAAGGGAGAAAGGCCCAGATGGGGGGAATGGGAGAATTTGGGGAGGGTGGAGGGGGYACAGCTGCACACAGAGGTGTGGGCACAGCAGCATATGATGGAGTTGTGGCTGCACACAGGATTGGTACGTGAGCACAGTGTGGAGAAACCTACAAACAGAGGCTGTGTTTTTGTATTAAAAAGTAAATAAATTATTGAAAACCCAAAAACAAAGGAGGAAGAAAAAGTGGAAGCTAAAAAGGAAAAGCTGCCAGAAGAGAAGCTCCARTCTACCTCCGTAAAAGATCAGGTAACTCATGAAGCACTCATTTAGATGTGGTAGGGAAACTTGAGATATGAAAACAACTAAGGCACCTATAATGGAAAGTTGCTTCTTCAGCAAAGTGCTTAAGCTGTGCTCCACTTCAAGAACATGGGTAATCCTGCTGAAATAAATAGGGATGAAGCTACTTAAGTGCTTAAAATTAAGTAAATTTTAAGGAGTTTGTTCTTTTGGGGCTTTAGAACCAATTTCTGTTTGTCTTAAAACAAATAYTTCAGAAAACTGAGTTCAGTCAATWACACAAGTATGGTTTTCCCCCTAGGGATGAATTTTTCAGGACAGTAAACTAATCATCCTTCCCTGGTTTCCTCTCACATTACTGTGAACTTTTTCCCTATGAACAAAACCTACTCTAATAATAATATTAATAATAATAATAATGATAATATTTTAGGCCCTTTGGCCACCTGACTGCCTTAACTAATAATTACCCCCCAAACTGCAATACCCCRTGATATAAACTGTGCATACCCAAGACTCTTCTTTTGTTTTAAAGAGAAAACCTACAAAATTTACTGCATTGCATTTCCACTGTAAACACAGGAGCTGGTGCCATGGTGTTTTACTGTATGGTAAGTAAATAAGATTTGGGGACCATTTTCTCTTCAGGATACAGCTGGACACACAGGGAGCCATCTTCAGTGCTGTGAAGCTGCTGTGGTTTTGGTTTAATGCAGCAGGTCTCAGAATAGCCCCTGATTCTCATTAATGGAGCCTGGTCAGAGACTGGTCAGAACCTTAGAAGTTTAGACCCATTTGGGTTCAGCCAAGTCTGGGGGGYTTAAAGGGAGCCACAGCACAAATTGCTGTGGATTGGGACCATTGAGGGTGGTAGAGGGTCCACTCCAGGATCCTTAGTGGATTAATTTGGAACATGCCACCGATGCTTAGCTCACCCTCAGAGASTGGGGAGGAAATAACTGCACAAAAAATAAGGGATTCATTATATCAAGAAGGCAGAATCAGCTTCCAATATTGGCTTTTGCATGCAATCTTTGAATATTACAAGTAAATGTAAAAAAGAGTCTGCAACTGACCACAAACTTTGATTTGTGGGGAACTTGAGACACAGTTGTCCTGCTTGTTCTTGTGTACAGCTTGTCCCTGGAGCTCTCATCATGCTTTTAAACCCTACCCACTGGGCTGGATTATTCCAGGAAATTGGCAAGACTTACAAAAGTGACTTGTGATTTTAGTGTTTCCATCTTTGGATGTTCAAGCTGAGACAGCTTAATAGAATCCCACTTATAGTGCAATTCTGAATATCCATCCAGAGCATTCCAAATGTTTGGAAAATTTTTGGTGTTTGCATCTTTGCTTGTGAAGAAAAATTGAAGATCAGKCTCCCTACTCCACTTCTGCCTGCCTTTCAAGGACATACAGATGTCTAATTCATTGAGGTCTAATTCTGAATGTGCATGCAGCTGAAAGGATGCCAGTGTTTCGTGAACAAGACCCTGAAGGAATAGAATGTATCTRCATAATCAGGTTTTGCTTTTGCTTTGGCCCTTGATGTTCAGGTTTCGATTAATTTGGCAAGAAAAATTAGTCTCTTTTTCTGAACTGCTGCACAATTTTTGGTTCTTAAAAGTGACCTGAGGAGTTCATAAGAACAAGCTTTCTCATGATGTGAGACTCCTGGTATTTCCTGCTTCCAGTTTGGCTAGACRTGCTGCACAGTTGCTTTTCTCATGGTATTTGGGGATGGTAGCTGACTCTGCAGGGAAGCCCGAGACCCAGATGGCCATGGCTTTTAACTCCAACTAACTGAGCCCAAGTAAAGAATTCAATTTGGCAGATGGCCTTAACCTCAGTAACTGATTTGCTTCTGTCTGAAGGTGTTCAAGCCCAAGATTTAGAAATCTCAATTCTCAATAACATAAAAATCTAACAGAAAAGAAGCAGTGTAGAAAGAGATTAAAATATAAATATAACAAGCTGGAAATTTGCTAACCATGCCTTTGGTCATGTTCTGTCTTGATACCAAGATTTGTGAGAGCARAACAGAGAACTTCTTCAGTTCAGGTAATACCACCCATCTGCTCCAAGTGGAGTMATTTTTTAATTCAGCAGTAGCTGAATTGGTCTGTAATTTGGGGAAGCAGTGAGACAAGGGAGAGAACTAATTCTGTTGCCTGCCTCTGTAATGAGATGCRAAGGTTTCTGCTTCTGTGCTGATCAATCTCTGTTTTGGTATTAAAATTAGTAGGAGAAAGATAGGGCCCAAAAGATGTGAAATGTTTCTGTAATATCTTTTTTTACCATCTTTTTGAATAAAGGGGCCAAGCTGTGTTAATGGTTTTCTCAAATGCAGACACATTATCATAAATCCTACTGGCTTCTGAAATGCTATTTCCTAACCTCCTATTTTTTGAACTATATTGTTTTAATTTTAGTTCTCTCAGTGATTTCAATTAAGATGGAAGAGATACAGCCCTCCCCAGTGGACCTGAATACATAAGGCAGCTGGAAGTGTTGGTTTTTTAATAAGACTTAGAGAGGGCTTGATGAAAATCTCAGCAAAGGAAATCTTACGCTCTCACAATCCCAAGACAGACATCCTGGCATGAGAAATCGTTTACCAATCAACAGCTGGTTTCAGTATCACCCTGAGTGGGGCTGAAGGGTCAGGAGATTGCTAACAGGCAGCAGAGATGCTTGCTGTGAACATGATCRCTGGCTCACCGTGATCTGGGAACACCCAGAAGATGAAACTGTGTGGTGGCATTCATTGGGATAAATGAATAGCCCTGCTTGTGTTAGCCCAGCTCCTAGAAAACAGCAAAGGGTTCCTTGAGGCCTCTGGTAAGAATGGCCTCGCTTGTGGCAGTTGCAGCATCATGGCCTAAGAATGCACGGTCATGGAAGCTGAGCTCCCCTCTTGTCYGTCAGGGAGCTGCTGCCAGGTCATGGCTAAAGCCTGTTGGCTGCAGAGGGTGGGAAAAGTCTGTGCTGCTGCTGCCTGTTCTCAGAGCAGAACAAATGCCTGTGTGGGTTGTGCCCAACATCCCCCACCAGCAGCARATTTGCTCAAATAGTTTAACCATCCTATACTCACTCATAACTTGTGCCACCATGGTGCTGTCCATCGCAGCAGTTTCTGTGAGCAACAGACTGGCTTCAGGTAAAGTCAGACACTGACTTTAGGACTCACCYAGCAACCTAACTCAGTGCCTTAGGAGGATCTTGGCTTTGAAGACTATCAACTCATCCTCTAGATGAGTTGAGTGGGTAAAGCTTTTGCTTCTCCAGAAGTTGCTCTTTGATGTGGAAGAACAGAAATTTCTTTCGATTTGGGGTGTGAAGCTGTGTACTAGTTTTTCATTTCAAGGTGCAGCTTAGGATACCTTAAGAGCAGTTGTGTTGCAAACAGGACTGTTAGAGAAGTTCCTTGTCTTTCTAGTTAGAAATGGGATTGCAACAGGCTTCCAAGGGACAAACGTGTTTATTTTCTAAAAATCTCCATTTGAATTCTACAGAAGGTATTTCTTGCTTCTCAGCTAGAATCTTCCTTCATCACAAAACTGGGGAGAGCAAATAAATACTTTGGAGGTAAATGCTGTTGGAAGTTTGTTTTGGCYGGTAGTCTTAACTAACTGGGAATATTTCTACCTGAGGATACATAACTGAAATCAGTCCACTTTCTCCTTTTGCCAGCCATGGTTCAGTATGCTGGTCTCAGGTCATCTGTAGTATTGATAAGTATTCAAGCTCGTAACTCTGAAAGAATACTGGAGAATTAAATCTGTGCACAAAATATAGTTGATTACTATTAAGAATCATAAGACAAAGCTTTGTAAGGATAAAGGGAATTTTAACCTGTGTTTTCCAGAACATTTGCTTCCTCATAGGATTAAATATTCCGGTTTGATAATGCTAGTCCTGATTAGCCCCTGCTAGGACTGTGCTTTTTATCAGAGTAACTTTTGCCCTGGTATAAAGATAATTTTGTGTTTTGGCCACTATTCTTACAATAGTGAAGTATCCGTCCACTATGACACTAGAAAGAGCATGAATTTTGTCAAGCAAGCTTGACAGCTGTTGGAGGTTATGTGCTGTTTTTGTGGAACCAATGCCCTAAACCTGGTATGGAGAATTTATCCACAAGCTCAGTCCCAAAGAGTTTGCAACCCAGAATTGTAAGAAACAACAGATGAAGGATGCTGCAATGGGAGGGAAGTGTTGGGAGGCAGTTGCAGGATGAAACAGTGTGGTGGCATAATCCCATGGCCACAACAAACTTTCACAGATAAATGTTATTCAGGATGCTTTGATCGTGAGTGCAGGTCAGGACAGCAAAGTGATGGTTGACCAGAGCTTAGCAGGCTACTTCTGCCATGTAGCACATAAACAGTTTGAAGACAGTTCCCATTCATGCCAAGGAATCTGATACTCAGCTGTTATTTAGAATGCCTTGCTCTGATTTTTTTTTTTTTTTTTGTTTTGTTTGTTTGTTTCTCTTGTGTTTTGTTCTGTGATTTATGCTATCTTCTGGACAGGTAAAAGATGACAAAGGTAAAGCACCCAAAGAGGAAATGAAAAGTGTCTTGGATCGTAAAAAGGGTGTTCCTGAGCAAAAAGCACAGAATGGAGAACGTGAACTCACTTCCCCCAAACTTAAACCTACTGAGAATGCTTTTGGGTAAGTTGCAAGTAAGAATTGGGCTTGCTTGTGTTACAGGACACCAGGGGCAACCTCTGGGTCTCTGCTTAGCAGCCCAGTGGCAGCTGATTGGAGGAATTGGGTTGGCAATGTCAGCAGGGGCTCAGGTGTTGTTTGGGTTGTGGTTCTGTAGTTTCTAAGCTGTTCCCACGCCATTGCAGTAACAACATCAAGTGCAGAAAGCAGATGGAAATGACCTTGCTCACTCASTAGAGACAAGAGGCTTGGTTTTACTTTGCAGGGGCTTTCCTTCCTTATTTATTTCTAATATCTACACAGAGGCCAATAAAGACAAAGTCCTAGGTTTTGTGTTCTCTAATTTTTTAAGTCAGATCTGGACTCCTACTGTGGTAACCTATTKCCAATAACCCACCTACTTTTGATTAGAATCTGCATAGCAGAATGAAGCAYAATTAAGTTGGTAACTCTAGAAAGAGCTCCTCTCTTGATTTCAAAGCAAACATTGATGTTTCTAGAGTGGCTTCTGTAGAAAAGTGTTTTTTTCAGTTAGGTAAAAACATCTCCTAGCCAAAATATTTTTTCTTTTTTTTTTTCCCCCTTCCTTTTATAAGCTGTGTCACAGTTTGATTTTAATTTTTCTTTTTAAGGAAATATTTGGCCTGTTGTTATGTATTGGAGAATTCAAAGAAGGTTACAATTTTCTAGTGAAATTTTTATTTTAAAGGATCCTCTCTGCTAAAAGTATGTGATACATGAAATAGAAACCAAGTTCTTTCTTTTAGCAGGAAACCAGGAATGAGTAGGTTAGAAATAAAAAATTTTCTCCTTCTGCATCTCTCTTCCTCTTAGACATAGGCAAAGGAAAGGTTAAGCTCTCCAGGCACTTTGAGAAATCTGAGCATGGCAGATGGGATTTGCTGTTGTATCTCAGCATTCCCCTCATGATTCTTCCGGGAAAAACAAACTTTCTCAAAATAAAATGCAGTTCAAAAGACCCTGGAGACACCCTGACCTAAGGCCAAAAGACACAGCAATTGAGATGAAATAGCAGAAAATTGGCCTTGCTCAAAACTGTCCTTTATGACTTGGGTCACATCATCAATAACATGAGAATAATTTTCTAAAAATATTTTTGTTGTGTTTTCATTTGCTTTACTTCCTGTGGGAGACAGGCATYAGTGACAAAATGTAGATTTGAGTTTCCACTCCTTTTTTTTCTATTTCTATTTTTCTTTTACTGTTTCATGCAAGTGTGAAGAACCCTGTTCAAGTACCTCTTATAAACTGAGTACAAGACTTGGGCTGGCAACATTAGCAGAGGCACCAGTGTTTATGGGGTTGTTAGGCATGAATTAGGGCTCTTGGACTGTTTTCTAATGAGCTGCCCCCACAGAGCTGGGCTTTGTCTGGAACTGACCTTTGTTCCTTTTTTTTTTTTTACATGAACATATCAGACGCTATTTAGAAAGAATATAACTTGCATAATTTTCAGTGGTGAGAACCGAGAACAAAATAGGATAGTGGTGGCTAAAGAAAAATCTTATCTGTCTTTCTTTCTGCGTCAGTAAGAGAATAAAATCCCATTTTATGGCTTCCCTTTCCCATCTCCCCCTCCCACCTGCCTTCCTCCCTATTCTCCTATAGGACTACAAAAGTCCTAAATATGAAGTAACATGTTTTTTCACATTGTTCTGACGTTTTTGACGGCCACAAGTCACTTCTCCCCTTTTCCTCCTTGTCTGAAAGCTGGCAACCATATTCATTCATTAATACCAAAGAGGTGCTTGCAAAACTCTTCCTCCACCCAGCATCTCAATTATTATTTCCCAATGTTGACAGTAGGCAACAGAGATTTCCCGGAATCTGTTGAAAACTGAGGAGTTGGAGGTGGAGGAAAACAAGGATAATTACTACCAGTGTATTGTTTTCTCTTTTGGAGTATGCAGAACCAGTCAGAGAAGGCCTGTGAGCAGCATGAGAATAAAATAAGTTAAAAACTTTAAACATCCTTCTTTGTGAGGATGCCAAAATAATCACGCTAACAAGAATATTCAGACTGGATTCTGCCCCTGGCTTTATCAGCTGAAAGCTGAGTAGCTCTTAATTTCACTGAGGCTGGTTTCTCTGAAGGTACTRAGGGCTAACCTTTCTTCTGTGCTGGTAGGAAACAAGAGTGGCTCTTTCTCAGGAGAATCTTGGCAAATGTTCTTTGTGCTCTTAATTCTCAAGGCCGAATGTTTGCTCTTTCCAGGGGGGATCAGGTCTATCTGAAGTGACCGCTTGCATCTTGTTTGGGCCCAMAGTTTGCAGCTCTTGGTGAGTTGGCAACACAAGAGACCAAGAGTTTGCTGTAGGGGCTACAACCTTGCCGTGAAGCAGGAAAGCCTAGCCAAGGATTTCTTATGTCCTGTGCAGTGTTAGGTGCACTGGGGCCTTTGAAACTGCTTAGTGCCTTTGTAGAGTCTTGTGGAACTTTTTGGGTTCTTGGTACCTCTGCAAAGTGAATCAGAGGTATTCCAGCCTGGACACCCACTCAAAACCATACCTCAGGTATTGCTCTTCACTTTGTTTTCTAATGGGCTGAATGAAATTTCAGATAGAGTTTCCAGTGTTTTCTCACAATGCTTTGGTCAATTGTAGATGCATTTTTCTTTTAAAAATGCAGGAGTTCCTTTCAGTAATTTGGCATAACTACYTGATGCAAGCCCTTATTCATGGCCACCCAGATTAACTTGCCATAGGTTTTTGTAGTGATACATTTCCTAAATCATGCATGTCATGCTAAAACCAAATTTAAYTCAATTTGGTGAGATCATGGTGGGACAGAGAAATCCTAGGTACCAATCTCCTTGTCAGCAGTAACATTGAACACACTCAGGGAGCAGACATTTGTCTAAACACTGGTGTGGTAATTATTTAACAAGGTGATRCTATCTGTCTGTTGGAAGCATGCACTTCACCTGTGCAAATTCTTTAGGTTTGGTGGGTTTTTTGCTTTGTTTCTTTCCTTCTGTCTCATATATTAATAGCTGCGTGGAAGACTTCTGTTTTTCTCCTGTGGAAARTTACCATTAATAAATAATTTCCAGCTCCTTAATAAAATGCCTTATTTTCCCTAGAAAATATAAGCAAAAGACCTGATGAACCTTTTTGTTCATACATGCTGCTGGAGTTAAAGTGATGGGTGTTTTTAGATTTTTAAAAAATCACTGTTGAAGCTGTAAGGTTCTCTCACCTCTCTTATTTCCTTCTGTTTTCCCCAAGAAAAGTAATTAATTCTCTTTTTTTCTAGAGGRTTTATAAAAAAATTGCCTTTGAAAGCAAAGGATTAGGGCATCCTTTATTACACAGAACATAAAATAGAGGTRGAACAAATTCTCAGGCACAGTGGTGCAGATCTTGTGCACAGAAGCAGGTGAGAGTCTCCTTCCTCACTGGTAGCAGATGGGAGAGGTGTTTCTTGCAGCAGCCCAGCCTAMCAATTCCTGATTGAAATGTTTTGGGCCTGTCTTAGTTTGCAAGGAGCAAAAGGTCTCAGAAGGCAACACCTTGGARTGCCAGGCTCTCGTGCTGCTGCTGAGCATGTGGCACCAGGTGGATTTGGCCAGGAAGGGAAATCCCTGGTGCATCATTTTTYCTTTTGTTTCCTTCCCAGGCGCTCCAATTTGAAAGGAGGTGCGAATGCTGAGGAGGCAAAGCCAGAGGCTCTGAAGAGGCTGGAAGATCAGCGCCGGCGTCGGGGCGAGAACGAGAGCGAGGAGCTGGAGAAGCTGAAGGAGAAGCAGCAGGAGGCAGCAGCAGAGCTGGATGAGCTGAAGAARAGGCGGGAGGAGCGCCGGAAAATCCTGGAGGAAGAAGAACAGAAGAAGAAGCAGGAAGAGGCTGAGAGRAAAATCAGAGAGGAGGTGAGTGTGAAGGAGGGAGTGGTGGACTTGGGTTTACTCTCGTTACTACTTTACTTCCACTGTCCTTGCAGTTGATAACTCTTTAYAGCATTGTCTAGTGAGGACCTGAGGCAAAACATGAAGCATCCAGGGTAGGAAAAARTGTTCTAATTCTAGCCTTGGGAAAACAGGGCTCTAATGTGTGTTTTCATGAGTCAAGATTTCATCTGTGAAAGCTGCAAAATTCTTATCTTCTTGGGATTCAAAATGTTGGGGGCAGTGTTACAGCCACAGAGTCTTTTTGGCATAGCACAGATTGAATTACAAAGTGCATGTCAAAATTTATCTTCTGCAGATGGGCTGGAATGCTAATGTTATATATAGTTACAATGGGCTAGATCTCATTAGGGAGATTTCTTGTCTATTTAAATATTGAGTATCCAACACATCTGTTTTCTTGTACTTCCTCTGCCAAGGGACTCTGCAAATAGGATTTCCAAGTCTCTGGTGCATCATTTAGGAATCCTAGTTGTTTGGAAAACAAATGGTAAATGAATAATACTGATAGTATCTGGCAGCTGAATGCCAATTCCTYTTTAAAACATTTCAGGAGATGCCAAGATTGCACAATACCTTGCCGGTCAGACCCCACTGACCAGTGCTCACAGTGGTGTTGCTTTGAGGGCTTCTGGTTTGACTTGGAGCTYGTGAAGCAAAACTCATCTCTGGAGGGAAATCTGCAAGCATTTAATCTTGGGTTTCTTGGCCACCTACTGATTTTTCCATGTTAAATATTAACCTTGGCACAATAAGTGTCAGAGTAGAAGGGTAGAAGAACAATACTAAAACGATACATGAGAATACAGAGAAACTGAGTTTGAGTTTTCTTCTCTCTTTAAGTGACATGATAGAACAACAAATTTGGTGACTTTACTGCGAGGAGACACTAGAACAGCACACACTAGTCTTCCTGGCATCCTTAACACTGTGATGGATTGGAAATAATACCTTCTTACATTTGAAACAATCATTGAACTTTTTCAACTGATATAAAAATCTGTTCTTAGAAAACTTGGAAAATGTTTGCAGTGCTGCACAGCCCTGTAATGGTGATATAGATTCTGAAAGAACAAGTAAACATTCATATTTTTAAGGAGGAAAAGAGGAGGATGAAGGAAGAAATTGAAAGAAGAAGAGCTGAAGCTGCTGAGAAACGTCAAAAGATGCCAGAAGATGGGGTGTCTGAAGACAAGAAACCATTTAAATGTTTCAGTCCTAAAGGTTCATCTCTCAAGGTAACTTCCCAACTAACACTTATATAGTATATTGAGAGTAATGGGATTTGTAGTCCAAACCAAGAGCCAAACATCAAAAGCAATATTGAAAATATTTGTAATCAGACCTAGGAAAATTCTTTGRTAGACTTAGCCTGAAACCTCTAGCAGAAAGGCTTCCTTCATTGAGATGACTGAAAATCAGAGTTTCTTCCTAAAAATGGACTAGACTGGCCTCTGTCTTTTTGATGAAGAATCACCAAAATGGATCTTCACCTTCAAGAAAAAATACTTTTGATACTTAGAGCTGTATATTACAGTGTTACTTTTAATTTATGAAAAGAGTGCTTTGTGAACTGGAGTAGAATCATAGAATCATTTAGGTTGGAAAAGACCCCTAAGACCAGTGAAGCACAAATGTTCTCTCACTCCTTCCACATCCACAATTATTTTCTTCCTTGCCAGATTACTTTGTCTTTAAGCATATTCAGCCTAATCCTCATTAATTGTAACTGACCCAAATGGGAGTTCTAACTTATGTCTAATCTCCCTTAAAATARTATCTAGAAGTACTGGGCTGGATTTCATTTTCTTACATAACATGAAATAAAACCTCACCCTTCTGTTGCTGCAGGATTTCTAAATGGTCTTTTGTGGCTTACATTATATTAAAAGTGTGATAAATCAATTAAATGGCCTTTCAGCATGGAAGAGGAATTCTGGCCCCACTGAAATTATTTGGAGTATTGTTTTGGAGTTCAGTCCAGTTGCTTTCTCAGCTAAAGCTCAAACTGCAGATGTGTTAATGCTTTCAAATATATTTTCCTTTTTTCATTTCATGTCATTATCATTTAAGGCTCTAAAATGTTTGTCAAAAAGGCCACTTAATGGGAACTAGGAAAGAGAAGCAGGTAGGAGCCCATTGAACCATGAAGTGGATCTCTATGAGATTAAAACTGTRACTGTTGAGTGAGAAACTGCCCTTGGACAAAATTAGTTTTCCACTCACAGAGAGCTACACTTTGATCCAATCTGGGGATTCAGATCTGATTTGGGTCCACTTCTAGCAACAGTGGACTCTAAAAACAGAGTCCCCATGTTTTTGAATGGACTTGCCTTTAGCTTSTAAGATATATTTGAACCTGAAATACCAGGATGCAACGCACACAGTTGCGAACAAAGATTGCCAAGCTTCACGACTTGATCCCATTAGTTAMACCTGGTCTTGCCATTTTGGTTGCTTAAGATGATGTTAGTAACAGACACTATAAATATACAGYTTCTTCCCAGCCCTCCTGGGAGGGCTTCCTTTTTTTCTGTTTATTGAGATGCTGTTTATGGGTATGCATTTGGAGCTTTAATTCTCAAAAGGCTCAGAATAGAGGAAATTATTGAAATTGAAAACAAAGTAAAAAGGATATAGATCCTCATTTTGGGGAGAGAGTGAAAAAACAGTGGACTTGGCAGGAGGCTAATAGCTTTGAGATACCTTTTGTATTGATGCTACACTATTCTAATTGTATTTACAGAGGAAAGCTGAAATTTTTCAAATGTTGTTAAGCATCCAAGATAGTTTTGTGGTTTTTTTTTTTAATGATGACAAATGCTGCTGGGTTTTGTGTTTTGTTAGGTAGAAGTTGTTTGCTACAAAATCTAATATATGCAACTCTGCACATTTTTTCCTGTTTCTCTGTTTCTCTGAGAAATTGGTGATACTGTACACGTTCCAGTCTGGTGTCTGTGGGTGGCCAGTAGATATGTAATGCTGTACAAGTTCACACCCTAAACTGTTTCTTGGCCTTCTGTGGTCAATAGCTGAGGGGAGAATAATCTCAGCTTCATAACCTGATGTGAAACTTGATATCAGAATCCAGTTATTAGAAGACAGTCTATTTTGTTACTATTGTTAAATTTGGACAGACTTCTCAGGCTGGTCTCACCTGGTTGGTACGCAGCTTTCTCACTGCCTGCTCTGTACTGCCCAAGTTATCTTTTGGTTTGTGAAGCATCTGGCACAAGTTTTCTCCCTTGATGAATTTATCATCTTGTTAGATCTGCCATGAGTCATGTGAGAATCCCAAATGCACGGTTGTGGGTGGGTGGTTGGAATTAATACCGAAAAAAGGGAGGCTCAGTATAAAAACAATGTATGATACATGTGCACATTCCGAGGTCTCCTGGGTCACAATCTGGCAWACCAAGGTTTTTTCTCCTTCCCGTCCTTCCTGATGTGACAAGCTTTTGGGAAGGAAAAGAAGTGCCTGGGAGTGGCTAATATGAGGAGAGTTGGGCGTGCAGATTGCTAGCTGAACTACAAGAACAAAGGGAAGAAGGGAGATTAACTGAGAAGCAGCGTGGCACATAGCCTCCTGTGGATACTGTATCTATCCATAATTTCTGTGGCATTATATTCAATACATAGTTTTAAACCGCTAAGAATCATGTAACATTGCCATGGCCATGAACCAGCATGGCTCAGAATCGGGAGACAAAGATGTGCAGCCCATCTCCATGTCTAACACAGCTCATGGRTGCACATGAGGTATAAATTCAGGTATACAAATACAGACAAAATATACATATGTGCTTAAATTTAGAAAGACCTGCTGTGTTTGTCTWGTCTGGCCCCTAAAAAATCATAGCCTACACAGTGTTGACATCTCCTRTTGTTCTGACTGTTAAAGACAGTAATTCCCTTAAATCGGGGACACTACTGCATCAGAACTACCCCAGTGTGGAGTCCTCACAGTGACAACATGAGAGCTGGTCCTTTCTGAGGGGACAGAGGAGAGAAAACAAAGTAAATACAGTCTGAGCTTATCACTAGTTAAGGGAAGCAGCTTGGCTTTCTAGGGCTGTGTGGACACCCTGTGGGCTGCAGCAGTACTAAACTTCTGTTGATTTCTGTCCTGTATCTTGTTACTTTTTTTAAAATAAGGACAAAGCCTGGAGCAACCTCTGGTGCTCTCCCATCTGCCTCTAGCTTGTGCTTCCCTMGTTTAGTTCATGCAAAATGTGATGCATTCAAAGAATTCAGATTTCCTGACAAATATTTATTCATTTTGCTTTTTAGACAAGTTCATTCCTTTTGTTTTCTTTGCAGAGGAGGATTACTGACCCTTYGTGTTCTGTTCTCTAGTTTAATTGGTAGAGAGCCGGGTATTTCAGTACTAAGTCTCCTCTTGGGCATGAACTCCACCACTAGAGAAGTGCAAAAGCAGTTATGTGTTGAGGGAACAGAGCAATGGCAGGGGCTGGGATATCCCTGACTTGGGAGAAAATGTCTCCTGGGAAACACAGGCTGATGTGGCAGCCAGSACTCTCTGCAAGGCACTGCTGTTGGCTAAGCCAGAAGATGGGACTTAACAGAGCTTTTTTTTTCCTGTAAAGACCTGTTTTGTCCTATCTCATTATTTCTCTAAATACCTGACACCTGGGGCAGTGGCTGGAAAGAATTAGACTCCACACCATCAGTTCTTCCTAGGTGAGCTATTCTCACAGCAGAGGGAAAACAGAACAGTGAGGACAGGATTTGTGACATTTGTTGTTCCCCATCTTTGATGCTGATGGCAGCACTCGGGTCTGGTAGGTAAACTGAGCTAAACTGGCACACTCTGCTCAGATGCTGCTGACAGCAGAAAAAAGCATAATTGTGCTAAATGAAGTGAGAGAGTGTGTTAGCCACTCAGGGAGGATAAGGAAAAGCTGCTCCAATGGATTTCCACTAGGTTCTTCCACATGTTGGATATGAGGCCAAATTATAATAAAGGGTTTTCTATGTGCAGTTTTTATTCCACTTCATCCTTGATGCATTTTTGAGATGAGTTTTTCTACAGATCCATTTACAAGTTTCTGTTGCATAATATCCAATACACAGTTTAAAACTCCTAAGAATCATGTAACACTTTTCTATGAAACAAGTTGTACTGGGAATATCTGATGGTTTTTTGTTTCCCAAGTCATGGTCTCATATTGTSTGTTAACTCATTCTTTCTGGTCATAATTTAATTAGGGGCTGGCAGGTTCACCTTTTTGAGTATGTGTTTGCTCTGAAAGTATTCCGTTGTGACAAAACACAGTCCAAGCTATTTAACAAGATCCTGTTAGGATGAATGCARTAGAAAGATTGTTCTTCCTGGTCTGAAAGTGAGAAAATATCTTGYATTTTCTGCTAACCACCTTGCTTTGACTGTTTCTTTTACAGATCTATTTTGTCATACTGTTTACTGTATGTGCCAAACGTTTTAAATTCTTTGCATGGAGTTGGTGTGACATGCAGTGGATAAATGACCTTTAGATGTTGCAGTGCAGTCTGAATGTATTTGACTCATACATTGRATACTCGTGTGTACAGCTTTTTGTCCTCTGGTGTATTCAATGTCTGCTCTGCTATGTTTGGAGGAAGATGCTCTAGAAAAAATTCTCATGTCAATGTGCAGAAAATGTTTTATCCCTCCACAAAGGCACCCTTCCCCAGCCAGAGGGCCTTGCTCAGCTCTGAGGGTTGCTTCCTAACTGTGCTTTCCTGTTGATGGTCTGCTTTGCTTTTTCACTCTCCTGAGTTTTCACTCCCTGACTTTTTCTTGATACCACAGTAGGTGCTCTGAGAATTGCTGTTTYCAGTGCGTAAAGAATGGCCCCACTTTTGTCTTTTTTACTACAACCACAAGAATAATGTCCCTCTTCCCTCCCATGTATTCCCCTCTTCCACCATTGCCTGTTTTTTCTGCTGTGCAGAAGAATCTCTCCTACCTGCCCATAAAAGATCTATGAAGATCCTGTAAATGAATTATTAGGTGGTTTCCTTGAGTTCTAGTTCTTTGAGATAGTCCATATTATTTGTCCTTGCTGCCCACCGGGGTTTCACTGATGCARCTGGGGACAGGCTGGGGAGAAATTGGAGGCTCTTGCTGGAATAACTCATCATTTTGATGCACTGCTGGCTATGACCCGGAAATCAGCGCTGGGGGAACTTCTACTATACCATAGTAGATGTGAAGCAACGTGTTTTAAATTACCATCCTTGGTCTCTTTGGTCACTTTTAAATAATTTACTTGCTCATTTTGTGGCATTGCCGGCTGTGTCTCCTCTGGCTGAAGCAGCTGTAACCTGTTCCTGCGGGTGCGCGGGTTCCTGCTCCTGCCGGTCTTTTACTGCCACCTTGTGACATCATGCCACTGAAATGGGATTTATCCCAGCAAAGCACATCTTTCCAYTCAGGATTGCCTTTAGCTCGCATTTTGGCAACTGAAACTGTTAATGGAAATGACTCTGTAAATTGTATATACTTTTTAGAGCTTCAGAATTGCCTTTGAGCTGGATGGGTGGTAGCTGGAGTTGCTCCAGTGAGCTCATTTGGCAGATTCTGCACTCAAGTGAACTGCCTGAGTTCTTGCTTGTAAGGGCTTGAGAAAKAAACCRTGCATGCCCTTTGATGGGATTGCTRTGGGATTCAGTRTTCTGGGATAGCCCTGGATGCTRAAGGCACTRAAGAGAACCATTTAAAGAAATGGCTGTCATTGCCTGGTTTTAAAGGCATGAATGCCAYAGCAGTCACCRTAAAAGTAAATTGAAAATGGAGAGCCCCTACTGAGACTGGGGAATCCCCAGGAATTCAGCCAGGCTGATTATTAATCAGTTYAATTCCCTGAAGCTGCTTGCATATATTTTACTTTTAAGTGAAACTGTAGAGCCTGGGATGAGAAGTGGAACAATGCAATGTGGATGARACTTGAGGAAGTTTGATGAAAATATTTCTTTATCCAGAATACAAATAGATGCACACACCCCACACCCCCCATTGTGAAATGTTTTAAAACTTTATTCAGGGGTGGAATTTTTCATTTTCAAATTATTGAGAGATTTGACAGAAGTCATACAGGACCTTCATGATTCTTCTTCCCTGGAAACATCACAATCTTTTTCTATTTACAACATAGAAAATAATGATGAAATGTAAGATACCAGTTTGTATAATAACAACTGGTYGATACTGACTCGGCAGTGACCCTGCTTGAACATGAGCAGGATTTACTCTGGCTGGTTTTTTGGAACTCAAAGTTAAATTGTTAGTGTCCTCCAAAAACATATGTAAGGGAGGCTCTGTGGCTGAGCTCCAAACCTGGCCTASTCTGATGTGTCAGCTCAGAAAAAATTTATTGAATTTGCTGTCTGTCTCAAGAGATACATGTTTGCTCTTATGTGGGAGATATGAGGATGACATAGATTTTTGTGCATATCAGTCYCTTTCTTCCTTTTTCTCCTTTATGTGCTGTTCATTTATTCTTTTGTTACATATGAGGCACTGAAGAAATGTGTAGGATGCAAGCCATTCATCCTATTTCCGTAGGAAATATATCTGCTTTGATGAATCTGTAGCATAATTRGCTCCTATCTATAAAACTTTTGTGAGTGTCTGCAAAATTTCTGTTGGAATGTATCTCTTTGAGATTGACTTTTTGACATTTCAAATGACATTTCAGGCTGGCCTTGCACAGGCTGCCTCACCATTATCTTTAAACTTAAAGCTCTTGTTTCTCTCTTTTCTAGATAGAGGAGCGAACAGAGTTTTTGAACAAATCCGCTCAGAAGAGGTAAAGCAAAGAAACAGTAAGTTCAATTCAAACAACAGTGTTTAATTATGGGGAATAATAATTCTTTCTTTTTTGATTTCTACTCCCTGTAGTGGTATGAAGCCCACCCAGACAACAGCAGTTGTCTCAAAGATTGACAGCAGACTTGAGCAATACACTAGTGCAATTGAGGTGAGTTAATCCCAATAAATGATCTAGTTACTAATGGCTTTTGGACTTTATCAGCCTTTGATTTGCTCTTCAAGAATCACAGGGATTTGTTTGATCACAAGCTCCTCTTTAATGTAACTTCAATAACAAAATGCTTGAGGCACATCTATAACCAACATTTAGAGATRTGTCTAAACAAAACCTCAGATTTGTGTCTTCCTTTTCATTCTGCAATTTGCTCTGTTTTATAAACTTGCAGTAGCTTTGGAACATTCAGTCAGCCCCCTGAGTGAMAGTCACATCCTCTTCTTGGCTGAGGAGAGAGCTGTAGGCACAGAGCTGGTGGTCATCTTGGGCAGAGCTGACTTAGCAGCTTAGGAGAACAAGGAACTGGCTCTGTGTTGCTGGCTGTCACTTCACAGGGAAATTCCTTGGCAAAGACACACTCTGCACAGAACTAGGGGGTTAAGTAGTGACAAAGGAAAAACAAAATCACATTAAAATGCAGAATTTGGCTTCAGGTGAATTTGACAACAAGTGGTTAATAATGTGCCTAAGAGCCAGAATTGAGARCTTTTTCTTTTCACAGTCCAAGGTAAAATAGGAGTTTGATACAACTGTATCCAACTGCCATCTCACTTGAAGTATTTCCTTCACTGAGTTTTTGGTTTGTCCACAAGTTGCCAAGTCTGACTTTCTTTGCAACTAGAGAGGCAAAGCATCACTCATACAGGTTCTTACTCTCATCAAATCTATGATATGTAAAATATGCAAGAATTTAGAAAAGAAGAAAGTGGAGGAATTTAGTCTGATATTTTTAGTAACCATGCAAAAGACACATTTCCAAAAAGCCACCCAACTCCCCTTTCYCCCCCTCAATTCTCCACTCAATGKAAAAACACCTTGTTTCAAACATATTGTAATTGCTGAGATTTACCCCTAGAATCCTGTGTTGCTGAGGTTCATTTGTCTGGGACAGATGGAGCAGAATCTGATGCTGAATGACAGATCAGCCTTTCCCCCCTGCCTCTACATAAGGGTTTCCTTAGCTGTGTCCCTAAGAGAGCCAGGCTTCCAGGATTCAGGTACTAAGATTTGAAAGCCTTGGAGCAGTTGTGTACAGAGCTGTGGTTTGCCATGGGTGTTAGAAAGGTAATGAACAAAAAAATAAATGAGTGCTGTTTTCACAGCTGGTTRTGTCAAGGGTGCAGCTGAAAATTGCGAAGGGAAGGGAGTCTCAGTGGCACCTCTTGAGCTGGGTACTCCTCCTCATCTTTGCATGATCAGTGCTAGAACCTCATACAGATGCTGCATTCTCTGAGTGAAAGCACCCTGCAAATCCAGCTCCTAATGCCAAACACCAACTGGCACCCATTTTTCTCCAGGGCACAAAGGCTTCAAGACCAGCCAAAGCTTCTGACCTTCATGTTCCAGCTGAGGGGGTCCGTAATATCAAGAGCATGTGGGAGAAAGGGAATGTTTTTTCATCACCCTCTGGGACAGGAACTCCAAATAAGGTATGTGTTTAATTTAACATAGTGATTATAAAGAATTATGCTCTAGACCTGACCTTGCTGTTCGTGTTCCTGTGAGTAAGCCTGTCTGCCCCTGTTGACATCACTGCTGAAGGATATCCCAAAGGATCCTGAAGACCTCAGAAATCCACAAGATTGTGTGACTGCAATATTGAGTATAATGGAAGAATTTAGTGACCTACTGAGCTAAGTTATGAGACATTCCAGAGCCACATCAGATATCTTAGACAAATATATCTGGGTAGTTCAAGCCGAGTACAAAGAAATTCTTCGTGTTGGGAAGAATTCTTTTGGGGGGCAGAGAAGGATTGAATAGGCAAGATAGTGATGATATTTTATAGAGACTGCATAAAAGTATTTGTGAGACCTCTAGCTTTTCTGTGTAAATCCTTAAGGCAACATTTTCTTTCTATGAATTGATACAAGTTGATGAGCATTCATCGTAGGCAAAAAAAAAAAAAAATGAGGCATGGATTGAAGTAGGTTATTACAGGTAGTTATTAAATTTTAGTAATTTGTTCTATACTTTTAAAGGTTTAATATTTTAAATTTTAGGCCACTTAACTCCTCTACTGTGTGCTTTTTAAAAAAATATTGTAACAAGAAAAAAAATCTAACAAGAGAAAAGAAGTAGATTTGGACTGATGTCTCTTCTATTAAGCTAAAGATTTTTTGAGTTTGGAGTTTGGGCTAGTGACAGAAACAGCCTGTTTATGTCTAATGTTTATTACTGGGTTAGCAGTAATGTGGAAATATTTTTGTGAGTCTACATTTATCATGAACGGAAACTAGAGGGCAATAGTGCTGTGTAATTCATAGGGACAGAACCTTCAGAGCGCCAGGATAACTCTGAACGAGCCATAGGCTCAGTGAGAATCTCTGTATTAGGCTTGGCTTTGCTTTTAATCTAATCCATGAAAAAAAGAGGAAAAGCCATTCTGAATGTCTTCTGATGAGATTTCATCATTTTGCAGGAAACTGCTGGACTGAAGGTCGGTGTCTCCAGTCGTATCAACGAGTGGTTGACCAAGACCCCAGAGAGCAACAAATCTGCTCCAAAACCTTCTGTAAGTAAACTTGGAGCAGCCCTTTCTGCAGTAGGTGGGTTCTCTCCTTGGGCAGTTGGTACTTCCCTTGGCCAGCTGGTGGCCTTTGGAGYAACTCTGCTTCATGTCCTCTTGGAAAGTCACAGAGACCCTCTGGCTCCTGGCTCCTTGGTAGGCAGAAAATGGGAGAGGAAACGGGGCAGTTCTCACTTTATAGCTCAGAGGTGCTCTAAAAAGACAAGCTCAGAGAAGCACTGCTCTCATGGAGAAGGATTTTTTCTCCCATGAAAGGCTTACCATTAATTTAGACATTACCAGCCATAGACTCTGGATTTGTAATTTAYAAGCACTTGGGGTTTGGCCCCAATATCTTCCAAGCATGTTTTAAAATACTACTGAAATAATTTCATTCTTTATGAGCCTAAACGTAATTTCTAATGAAGGCCCTTTAGCCCTGCCCATTACTTCAGCAAGAATCAGAGCAGAAAATTCTATCMAGGTAGTAAGCTGGGAGTGTGAGAAGGAGCAGGAATAAACATGGGACGGGGAGGGGTAAGGATGAGGAACTGGAACTGTAAATGCCCATATTGGAGAATTGCTTGTGGTGTTAATGGTTCAACTTTAGGATTTTGTTAAAGAACTGGTGTCTTCCTKTATCCTCATAGAGTGTTTTTCTGCCACTCCACGTGCCCTTTATAAGTGGTGTATCCTGGAAAACACTTTCTCAATTCACACTCCTGTTTGTCCTAAAGAGGAGATTGAAATTTGCAGCCATTGTCYGTTACAGAACCTGCCTCCAGATTTTTCTCTCTTTCTTTTAAGTTGAATCTTTTAAGTAATGTAAATTTAATCTCTTGTTTTTCCCTCAGCCAACTGTTTCTATCTATGTCTTAATTTCCCTCTTTCTCAATAGATTGTTTTTTCTTCTTTCAATGTCTCTGCTAGAAGAAACGTGCCCTCCTCCTTCTTCTTTGAGGGTCTGTTTGCTAAGTTGGTCAGGTAAACCTGTTTATAATTGACTATGAAGGTTTATATACATCTGTAATCTGTGGTTTTTAGTTTTTGTAGTCAGGATTAATCAAAGAGAAACCTAGAATTTCTTATTTAACAAATAACTTCTTACCCCCATCGCATTCCACCAAAATAAAGAAGTGTTCAAAGTTTTTATGACCATCACAATTCTTGTGGGTTTTGGAACATTATTGAATTCAAGGTAGWGGTAGCAAAGAGCTCAGTTTTATGTTGAAGCTAAATCACAGATCCCAAATTATTTCAGGTCTATGAGAAAGGTTTTGTGGCAATATCCACTGCAAGTGACTTTGTGAGAAGGTCAACTGCAAGTCTGTCATTTTCTTCCTTCCTATGCTACTACTGAATTCACTTTATAAAGTGCAGAATTGGCTTCAAGTTTTAATCATCAGCAACCCACTGTGGCTGCAAATTATGACCAGCTCTAGAGGATCTGTGTTGGGTGCAAATACCCCCTTGTAGAAATCTCATTTTCATTCATCACTGAGCATTTTACAGGCAGAAATTCTCATGTGCAGAAAACTGCCTCCCTATGGATGGCAAGTACAGGATTCTGGAAACATGCAGGGCTTGGATATTTTYTGAAAAGGAGAGTGCATATGTCTAAAATTGTTTGAGTCTCTTGTTTGCCATGTACAGAGGTAGATATCAATCTATCTGCTTAGCAGATTTAATTTTCATTTGTAGCCCTCTTTTTTTTGCCAAGGAAGCTGCTTAACATTTTTATGGAGTTTTAATTAAAGTCTCTATAATACACTCATTTTCAGAGAATACTACTATTCTTTAATAAATTTAYCTCAAATTATTTTTGTTCTGTTTTGTTTTTTCTGTCATGCTAGTGATTGGTGTATCCTAAGGTTGCAAAGGATGCAATGGAAATTAAAATGGTTATGAAAGACTACAGAGATAAATCCTGAAACATACATTTAAGAATGCAGAGTATGATCTGGTTTTCCCTTGTTCCAATAGCCCTACTCTATTTTTTTCCGTTTTTAAAATAAAATATTTTGATCTAAAATGGCTGAGACAAGCTACTTTTGAAGTCCTCCTTAGTAGAAATACTGTCCTTGAAAAAAATGTGGTTTTTTCCTGCAAAAACTGGAATTGTCTTTTGTAAAAATCTGGTAGTGCAGTAACCCTTCAGTACACTCCATTGGTTGAACATACTAAGTTAAGACCAGTCTGTGCCATATGAAATAGAAGCAACAGAATGGATTTTTGTCTTAAAATGTGTACATGTGCAGAATCATTTTGTGAAATATAATTCTTTTATAACTGATAGACAGTGTAATATTTACCACTGATGGATGTKCCTCAACTTTTCTTATAAGGAAGTTGCATTCTAACTTTTTCTTTAACAAGTGAAAATAAGCATGAACTAATGTTGGATTCTGTTTTGTGATATTAAAAATACAGGATTTAAGACCAGGAGATGTATCCGGCAAACGCAATCTCTGGGAGAAGCAGTCAGTGGAGAAGCCAGCTGCTTCTTCAAAGGTAATAACACTTCTGTGCAGTATTTGGATGATAATGTTCTGTTACTAACCCACCTTTTTATCTATAAAAGCAAGTAGAATGAGGTGCAGAAAGCAGTGTATAAATTTTATATTCCTTTTTGGCAGAGCTGTTATGTGAGTGTTATGTATGAACATCTATCCTTTGCATGGAGTTGATTTTTTTTCTCCTTTATTCTGCTATATGGAATTTTAATTGTGGCTTTTTGCTTTTTTAAACAGGTAGCAGCTATGGGGAAAAAATCAGAGACTAATGGTAAGTAATACCATAATGCATACTTTGCATCTCTTTTTCTATTATATATTACTACATACATAATATAGTCATATATATAATGCATACAATATATGTATCTTTATTAACATACATATATTATTTAATAATATATAATAATGAAATACATATATTTTAAGACATATTACAATGTAGAAACATTGCYACGTTTTCACACAGGTATACCTGTGTTTTAGAATTCTGCAGCTGTTGACATTGCTGCCAAAAAAAAACCCTTTTGCCTTTCAAAAGCTCCATTGCAATATCATTGAAACATGAATGGTTGAGAAGCTGCTTTTCTTGGAGCTGTGCATTGGTGTMTTTTAAAGGCAAAAATAGTTATACTATTATTGTTTTGAAACCACAAGTTGGTGAAACACAACCTGCTTTTACAGAAATAAATCAGCAGAACAGTCCTCCTAGCTTTTAATTTTAACAGAAAGCACTCCAAATAAAGCAAATTAAAATAATGATGTGGCTAAGAACCAGTGRGGAAGAATGGAAGTTCACTGATCAATTTAGTAGCTTTAAGGATGCTTTGCAACATCCCTTGATTCTTTACTAAGAGTGAAACGATCAAATATAGAGAACCTTTTGGTTTTTTACACTTTCACATGTGYACACACWTTTTTGGTGGTTTTTATGTGAAGCCAGAGGTATAGTATGCCTGTGAAGTTTCCTTATTGGCTTAGAATTATGCAAAGCAGAGTTGTTTGGCTCCTCTTCTCCTTTTTAAACCAAAGTGTCAGGAGGGGGTTTTCAGGCTCACTCAGTGTTAATCAGCTGTGCTCTCTTGGAGGGTGTTCTCAATCCCACCCACAGGAATAGGCCCTGCAGAGAGCTTTGGGCGCTGCTGAACCTCTTCTCAAAGGCTGAAATCCTGCCTTTTGTCCTCTTGGAGAGGACCTCAGAGTACATGAGCACAGCAGCACCCAGCTYGTGTCCTGTCTTACATCTTAATCTAGATCTGTGCCGTTTCTGTTCTAGGGATGTGTTTGGGCTGTTTCAAGCCATATTTAATCTAGCTCTTTCCCAGCAGGTTTGAGACAAATTGAGAAAGAACCATAGAAGGCCACGCTGGACCAATCAGTTTGGGGGAAAAAAAAAAGGAAAAAGTGCTAAATTGTTCTTTTTATATTTATGTTTATTTACCAAAATGTCTTTTTGCATTATCCCAGTTAAAACCATGTATATTAGCACTGTATTTAATAATCAGTCTAGACATTCATCAGAATAGTACTGCCTTTGCACAAGAGCCTTTATTCCTAAAGAARCCCATGCTGTGAAATATATAGATCTCCTACTGATAGTTATAACTATGTATCTGAACAGTGATTTCAACTGGCATTAGAGGTCAACCCAAAACGCATGTAAAGAAAAGTTGCTTGAGGAAGGTGTGCAGCAGACCTATAAAAACAGTGGTTACTTTTGTAATACAGAAGTCTTTTTCTTTCTGCACTTTAGACTAAGGCATGGAAGAAATATCTTTAGTTGACAATGTAATATTTTCTGTAAGTTGCCCATGTCATGAGAAATACTGCATCAATAACGTGTTTTAATATTTTCTTTTGTTTTATACTTTTTTAAAGTATCAATATTTCCATTCTAGTTTAAGTTAATACCTAAAATTGGATGATTATGTTAGCTGACAGCGGTACTGATATTTCTTTTTGTTGTTAGTGACTAGTAATTGAATGCAATCTAGAATATATATACACACATAGCTTTACAAAGTTTAGTCTAAAGGCACTACTAATGGTAGAATGCTTTAATATGTGCTAGAGTATTATATTTAGCAATAAACATACATAATTAGCCAATATCACAGCTTAAAAAAATAAAGAGAAAATCACACACTTTTCTATARTAAGATTTCATAATTGCCATTAGAGGTATGGTGAGATAAGTATTAAAAAAAATTTAATGTCAGTTGCCCAGTAATGGGTAATTAAAAAGAAAGTATAGTTTTTAAAAGAGGAAAAGGTAAGGGTATAGAGGGTCAAAAATAGGCCACTTGTATAAAACKTTGTAGTTTAATTTATATGAAACTACCATTATTAAAAAGAAAAAAAAGTGAACAGAGTTGGAGCTTGTTTCAAATGACTGTACACTAAATCTTGCCATCCATCAGGTCCACCGAAAATGAAGTAAACCTTTATCTTTATAATGCTTCTTTTTACCTCTSTCCTGAATATCTAATTTACAGGTGTTTTCATTTGTATATAGTAAACACATGGCTATAAGACATCGGCTTGGTTTGAGCTTACATGCCATACAGTTTAGCATTTACATCCTACAGTGTATGGGTGGCATAAACTGAGCAACTCAAGTAGCCCCTGAGCATGTTGTTAACAGCTTTGTTGTGCATTAGAACCCCTGGGATTTCCCTTTTCACCACTTCCATCTCTYATAGCATCTGACTTCTTCACAAAGAAGTGCATTGTTATATTTCAACCCAAAGCTGAGCTCCCCTGCTTGGCTGAAACATCTTGTTTACTTATAGAGATGCACGAAGTTATCTGCAGGGGGTGAAACTGTGCCTGACATTGTCTGTGCATTGTCATGTTTTCTGTATGGGGGTTTCGTAAACACTCCTCTAAGTCTTTCAAATACATCTGATAGCTGCAATAAAAAAAATTTGTTCAAACAATGTATTCTGAAACTGCATCCACAATAAATGGAATATTTCCATCAGCAGCCCCCTGTTTGTTAATGAGTAGGAATGGACCAGCTGTTGTAAGTGGGATAGGAATTCTGCAAAGTCTGTGTGAGATAAGGTAAAGATGTCTCTCCTGTTGTACTATTCTTCAGCAGACAGACAGGTTGTAAAATTGGCAGCTTTAACAAACATATTCCCAAGGTGGGTGGAGGGAATTAATCTTAATTGTCCTGTTTATCAGTACGGGACAGGGGCTGTGCATCATCTAGAAGGCAGCGTACTCAGCAAAGCATGTTCTGACCCAGTGGTGCAGCTGTCTGCCTGCCTGCTTTGAAACAAGCTTTCTGTGTAAGAACCACTGTTTCTTCTGTCTGCCTTGGTGGAATGTGCTTCCAGGCTTGGATGATCCCAGAGATGGAGCTGCAGGCTCTCCTGACATCCTCCTGTGTCCCTTCATTTTTGCTCTAACAGCAGTACAGCATGCAATGCCCTGCTTTAAGCAGGTCACAGCCAACTAAAAGAGAACCCCCAGGCTGCTGCCAGCTCCATGGGAAGGCTGCAGCAGGCACAGCTTTCAGAACTACTGGGGGAGAAATAATTGGATGCTGCCTAATTTAACCTGCAAAGAGCTGCTATGCTCGGAAGCGTGCCTGTTCTCCTGCCTTGCAAGGCCYGACTGTGTCACTACGAGTCACCACAAGCTTTGTTGAAGTGACACTTTCCATTGTGCTGCTGGTAAGTTTCTTTTCCTCCTGGTTATTGCCTTTTTTTGAGGGTGTGGAAGTGTGCCACGTACAATGGGGCTTTTTTTTAGGAAATACGATAAAGTGGTATGGTCATGTTTTGCTTTCACCTGGCACCACCTCCTGGTAGAATTCACCAAGGACAAATCCTGGTGGCTGACTGAACAGCACTGCAAGATCTCTTGGTATTGTGAAGGTGATGGTTTTTCAKAGAATACCAAATTGTGGTTGGCTTTCTTGCAGCTGCATGCAGAATGCCACAAACCAGCTCRGCTTTGGCAATATCTACCTGAAAATATTTTAGAGCAATTAATTGTGAGCGTACCTCAGAGTTTGCTTTGGTGTTTTTGAAGTAGAGTTTTTTTCCATGCTTTCCTTAGACACAGCCAGCCCGTGTCTGAATGCAATGTTCTGGATGCTGCCCGCAAATGCAAAAATCCAGGTTTACATTTGAGACTCCCAGTGCAGTCAGTCTGGTGTTGGAGGCAGCTCTTGTGTTTAGCAGGGTGATTTTACTGTGTCTTATCACTGCCTATGATATTGTCTTCAACTCTCACCACTGATTACACAGGAGTTCAGTTTCTAAGTATTCAGAGGAAGGGYTATGTGAGGCAATAGCTTTGTTCTTTAGGTCCTAGCTAGAGCACAATGCTGTTTTTGAAGCATAAGCCACAAAGTTATCTGTATGCACTCTCCTTGTACAGGAATTATAGAAACTTAATTCTATCTGTATTAACATTTGTAAAACCCCAGACTTTAGAAAAACATGCCTAACTGTATAAAAAAAATTTAAGCACTACACTGATCAACTTTTATTGTTAATAAAACTTTATTCATATAAAATTTTAAAGCATTAAGAGATACACTCTATAAAAATCACAACTATATAAAAAGCAAAGCCATTAGAGCATTCTGTGACAGTGACTTATGAGCCAGTGTGACTGACCACACTRGAAATAAAGTATAAAAATCCCATGTAAGTAACTAGTTTTTTGTTAAACATGAATGTAATTAAGGAAGACCAGATAAAAAGGAATTAGAGACATTGTCTTTTTACTACTAATCAAGACCAGATTTCTTCTAACCCTCTTTACAAAAAACCCAGCTCTATTGACACATTCTTGCATCAGCTAGTGATCTCCTAAATAAAGGAGAAAAAGTTAACTGCTTATGATTGTCAAGTACAGAAGAAGAAATCAAGATCAAGCTGCAGAGTACATCTTCCAATCTGTAAGGCGTTAAGGAGGTCTTGCAGGAAACCACTTGCATTTAATACTCTGCATTGAATGGGTAGTCCTTGTGATTGACAGCTCTGGAAAGAGAAGGACCTTGTTATTCAAGTATTGCAGAAAGTATCTCGAGCAGCATTTCCCTGAGGCAGTCTCCTTCACCCAGTGCCAATGTGCTCAARTTCTGCAGCTGTCATTGAATTGAACACAGGCTCATGAGAAAGTCCGTGGAACACCAATATGCTGGAGGGAACWCTCCAGATCAATCACCCTCCTGATGTTCCAGGACATGCCTCATTACCTGAGGTACCGGGTTTAAAGTTTGAGCTCCCCCTGGTTTTGGTCATGCATATTTTCAAGACAGGGGGGGTAAAAATACAGACAGAAATAGGACTAATGGATAGTAACGATAATAAGGAACATACTGGAGCACTGGAACTGCCCTCCAGTTCCTGTTAAAGCTGAGGATGACATCCATCTCCTTTTTAGACAGCTCGAAGTCAAACACCTAGCAGGGAAAGAAAACAACACATTTTTTTTTTAGTTAGGTTCATGGGTAGTTGGCTACTAAGTTTGCTTCGTGCACTTATGACTTGAGGTAGGTACATATTAAACATAGTTAAGCAATCCTCTTATTTCTCAGGCAAGTAACAAACCTCGAAGTAACAGACAGTCCTTCTCTTTCTGGGGTGCTGTTCATAGCAATGTCTTAACATTTCTGGGTGGCTGAATGCCAACACACTGCACTTGGTGTTGTAATGCACAGACAGAAGACTTAAGGTGCTCAGGATATGTCTCAAACACTGCAACTAGAGGTACATTTTCTGCTACGAGAGAGGATTACTGGATATCAACTGCAAATAGTTCTCACAGTTAATCACATAAGAATTCCTRCTAGAGGTTCATGGGAGAAATAACTCGCAACCCTATCAGCATGGATTGAGAGCAACACAGAGCTATTACAAAAGATGCCACACCTTATGAGCAAACATCCAGCTAAACTTCACTGCCAAGGGGAACCACAGCCTCAAAGTGAGACAAACTGCAACAGGCCTGGTGCTCACAACTTCTTGCTTTACACGCTAAGGACGGACTTCCTGAGATTTCCCCAAGGGCAAGTCCAAACCTGGGATTCCCTCTCCAGGGCAGCAGAGCTCAGACAACCCTGATGCAACCCATTTCTCTCCTAGCAGGAATAAAATGTTTTTCCCCAGATGGTTTGGTAGTGCTGAGCCCCAGTCTTCAAATCTCTGCMCTGCCCTTCCAACGACTCAGGTGCTGCTTGGAAACATGGAGGGGCTATGGGTATRGGTGCCTATCCTGCATTAAACCAGACAGCAGCATTTCCAATGGAAACTTCACCTTCATGTTTTCCTCAACACGGTGGGGTTTGTCAGACTTGGGAATGACAATGATGTCTCTTTGGACCAGAAACCGGAGCAGGACCTAGGAAAGAACAAGGAGGAGCATGAAAACAAAGATACCAAGAAATCTATTCAAATGCATTTTAAGTTCTTTATTTTTTAATCTACAAACCAATTGATTTTTCTACAACTGTATTCACTCTTTGGAAGACTACCAGTTTCCATACAAGAGTTTGAAATGCCAAGATTTGCTTATGTATTTTCCAGTCTACTGGCAAACTGGAATTGTTTCTGGCCTATGCGGTTTCTATATTGTGGCTTTTCCGGGATTTGTTTTGGTTTTATTTAGGGTAGAAGCAGAAAAATTATGATCCTCTGGCTTGTATTATATGAGTATTATATGAGCACAATGGGCATAATAATACTACAGATTATTTTAGGCTCACAGGTAAGTACCTCACATAGGTTCAGCTTTTTGAAATCCATAAAAACATTATTTATAGAATTTAAAAGTCCCAGAGCTGTTGCATACAATATTTTTGTCCTGCTCTGCTTGTCTTAAAATATGATTGTCTTTGCATGTAAACATATGGCTTTGTTTGAAATGCAGTTTCTGTATACCCCAGGCAACAATTTGTATGACTAGCAAACTAATGGAGAAAAAAAAATCCTAAATAATCAAGCAGCTTTCAATAGTAGCTGCTGTCCTACATTTGACTGCTCTCCCATGTAAGCTGGGGAGCAACCAAGTAAGTTTACAAATTACAGGACTCTTCTGAAAGCTAACTTAGCTCAAGAAAGGAATAAAAAGTTTAGGAAGCTGAACACCTGAGGTAAGCATGTACCGTCACTGACCAATCCACCCTAAAACTCTGCACTCAAGACCTCCTAGAAAATAGCTGATAGTTTTAGAAATGCTGTTAAGGACTTGGGCAGAATGAAAAGTCAAGTTCAGCCCCATTACATTGCATCTTTAGAGAAGGCAACATCCACCAGGACTGGCCATCAGCCTGTAGAACATCAGAGGAGGAGAAATAGCCCTGACAATCCCACTTACCTGGGCAGGGCTTTTATGATGTCTAGCTGCAATTTCTTTAATCTTGGGATCCTCCAGCAGCATAGGTTCCCCTGGCTTAGCCCTGTTAAAAAATAGAGATACTGATGTTTGAAAGGTAATAGCTTCGCTGTAGGGAACCTTACATTATGTGACATGACCTGCATCAAAGGAACAGCACTTTCCATTTTACCTGTATTATTTACTGTATTTACCTGTACTATTTACAAATTTYCTAATAATAATAATTTTCATGGTTCAAGCTGCACTGTTTTCTATACTAAAAAGTTGTAATTCCCTCTTACCATGGGCGGTTAGGAGAGCCCAGGGGACTGTATGCAGTCACAGCAAGCCCTTTGGATTTACAGTACTTGACCAACTTTTCCTGGGTCAGGTATGGATGGCATTCCACCTGCAAGCACAGAAAGATAGTTGATGAAGAGGCAGACTTCTCTGGGCTGCAGAGCATTACATTTTAAATCCTCTTGGGTCACAGAAAACGGGAAGACTTGACTTCCAGTACCACCATTCAAATCTATCTTTTTATGAAGAAGTTATTAATGTCACAGCAGTATCTACAGGCCTAGCAGATCACAGGGRTTTCTCAAGCTACATATTACACACAGAGAGTGAAAAACAGATGAGAAGAGTGAAAATGTTATCTGTGTGGAATCTGGGAAATGAGTCTTCCTGAACTACTGCAGGGCAGGATTGCATGTTCAGAGGAGCAGCACAGAATGTTTCAAATTTATTTTCTCAGTCACCCAACCTCTCCTTGCCTCAAAGAGCCTCCCTGATTCCTAAAGAAGTCTGGGGAGATCATCTAAGGGGCCATCTAACGAAGAAAGTTTATGCTGCAGCCAGATGTTTGGGCAAGATGTTCTTGAAAGGAAAGCAACAAGAGCCTCAAGGGGATGCTGTTCAACATGCCACAAGCCATGGTGTGGCCACAGGGCTGTGTCTGTGCTGCCTCATGTGGCCCTGGGCACATACCCAGCTGTTTCCTAATGTTAGAGTTTTCCACTGGCCATGGTGACATGAAAAAAACCAACAATAGTTTATTTAGACCTGAGCTAGTGTCGGGATTTCCCTGGAGATTCCCCATCTGGAAGCGATGGGCATTCAGCACCCGCAGCTGAGTGCAAAGAAGTCACATATGGAAGAAAAACAGAAGGTCCCTAACCTGCTGTAACCCGTGATTACATTAATGAAGTATGTGGTGAGAATTTGTCATGTAATTGTTCACTTCAACCCTCCTTTCCATGGTGAAGTTGAGTAGTTTATTTTGTGTTGTGTAACTAACTGCAATGCATTCCTGTATAGTCCCGTGCTGGTGCAGAAACTCACCGTGGGGATTTTGCTGAATAGTTAAGACTACTTTAATTATACATCATAGGAATTTATAGAGCAAATATATATTATATARATGAKAYATTATTTATATAGGACATGGATAGCATATTTATATATTATATTAATTTTGGCAGACTCTATATATACATGTGTATACACACACACACATTCTAAATAGGAGTACTTCTRAGAGTAAGGTTCCTTGCCCATAGATGAAAGGTTGGGTCTAGATGATCCATATGGTACCTTCTAATCCTAACCATTCTRTGATTCTAGACCCCAAGGTKACACGAGAAATTCAAATAAAAATCTCACCTGGTTCATTACAGGCTTGTGYTTCAGTCCTGGCTTGTTCAAGATTCTTTCAATCTGCTCATGATTAAAGTTGGAGACACCAATGGCTTTTACCAGACCACAATCCACCARCTCTTCCATGGCCTAATGAGTAAGGACAACAAAGGTGTGGGARTGAGGTGGTGGGATTACTGTCAAGCTACATTATTTTACTTCTTTCAAGCTTGTGACAAATGAAYAAACAACTCACTCTAGATTAAATTCAATAAGAGTATCTCAGTTTACAAAAAAAAAAAAAATAATCCTAACTGAGTGAAACACCCAGTAAATTAACAGCCACRCCTGGATTAATCTTTGGGTTGGTTTTGCCATTGTAGATATTCAAATATTTTAGCAGCAGCACTTACAGTGCTAACAGATTCCTCCTCCTTAGCCTTACTAAAAACAACCCCTTCTTGCTCCCCAAAACAAGAGGAAGAAGCAGCTATCTGGCTGAAATACAGATTTGTGTGACTGTCTTCCATACCCAAATGTATCCCTCAATTTAATTTTGCYGACAGATCTCTTCTCCATCATATATATTAGTGTTGATACCTGTTCTAAARAGCAAATATTGACTTACCTCCCATGTGTCCAGAAAATCAGTGTCACTGGGAATACTGTGACCCTTGTCATCCAGAGGATGCAGCACTTCACCAGCCTGTTATTTCAAGGCAGACAATAYGCACTTTTAAGTGTTGAATTTTTTACAGTGTACTAGCACTAGTAAACTGCTGCRTTTACAGGCAGCAAATTAGGTTGTTAACATATTGTATAACTAAAAATTATATTCATCAGTATTCTCTTTTGGATGAGGGCCATATTTCTCAAAACCAGTCCCTGCATGCAAAGAGTATGGGGATTAGTAATATTGATGTAACTTTGGCAGATCTGGAGACAAGGGAASAGATACCTCCCAGCACTTTTATTCTAGTTTTTTATTTATTTTACACAGATGTAGACTGGGGGAAGAAGCACATTCTGTGCTATGCTTCATTTTTCACTGTTGGTTACTTCTGGCCAAGCCAGTATCTCCAAAACCAGAGACGCTATGCTGGAACCACCATCCAGTGCTGGTTACCATCAAACCCAGGGGCTCACACGTACAGCTATCTCATTCCAACAGGCATGAAAAGCCATACCCATGTGCTAAAAACCCATCCCTACTCAGTGACCAAATGCCTGCTACCACTGGGTTCAGGYAGGAGCCAAATGAACCACAGCATATCCCATCTATGTAATGAAAATGGTCACAGTATAAATAAGAGAATGCACCATGTTTCCATGCAGGTAAGGAGGAAAGGTGTGGAGAGCAGCACTACCTTGAATCCCATGGGGAAGTGCATCAGGTAGAGGTCCAGGTAGTCCAGCTGCAGTGCACTAAGGCTCTTCTTGCACGCTACCTTAACCAAGGACTTCTCATGGAATGTGTTCCACAGCTGAGGGAAGAAAGCAAACCCCACTGTGGCTTTACAGCTCCCACAGGGCAGACCAGGGGACAGAAGCTGCTCACTTGGTGGTTTGGGAGGACAGCTCCCTCCCTCAGTACAGGCTAAAGATGATGATGTAAACATTTCRCTGTTAAGGCAGGACAAACACACCACAAAGCTGGCAGCAGTGAAGGGAGAGTCAGGATTCCCACCTATGAGAAGAGATTCTCACACCAAAGTGTATCACTCTGGCAAGGATATCTGACACAGCAAAGCTGTCAGTGTTAGAAATTTTTTCAGCGTAAGTTTGAGTATTGAGCAGCTCAATACTACTTTCTTCTATCCTTCCAACTGTCCACAGTGAGAGCAGTAGCCAATTTTACTTAATTTTTGAAAACAAAATTCACGTTGTTTAAATAGAAGATCTTGCATCAATTATAAAATTAAACCATATTTTTAAACAAAAACAAGGGTTACTGTGGAAAAGCTTAGCTGTTACACTCAAAGTTTTCTGGTTTTGCTGGTGAAAACCCCAAGTCATAAATTTATTAGTTGAACTGGTTTTTTTGGTAAGGAGCGCTTCTGAGACAACTGGATGAGATAAAGGAATGAAGAAAAAGACATATAAAATACTTCAGATTTAAGTCTCTTACATTGATTTCTGTTCTCTTTTAGGATTATGACTTATATACAACAGTTTTCAAATATCTTGCTTAGCACTGATGAAGCCAACTTTATCTTTCTTGGGTGTGTCCAATTGAGCATTCAGTATAATTGACTTAATCGATTCGAGGAAATTATTAGATCAGTAATAATCTGTGCTATCTTTCCTAAGTTGTCAGTAGTTCCTGACAAAACTGAGTCCAAATTGCAAACGCAAGATGGAACTTTTAGCACACAACAAGAAAACCATGAAGTGAATGTCAGAGAAGGGAACAGGTTCCTATATTACTTGACAGGTAAAACAAGGGTTTTTCTGCAATGAAAGCTAAATGCCTCAACAGCCTTACATCCATGTACCTTAGTGACAATGAAGAGGTCTTGCCGTTTCACAGCTCCCTCYTTGATCTTCTGCTGGACTGCATTCCCTATTTCATTTTCGTTCTGGTAGAAATAGGCACAGTCGAAGTGGCGGTAGCCGGCATCGATAGCAACCTTCACCACCTCTTCCACCTTTCCTGGGGGAGCCTGAAAGCAAACAGAAGCCAACCATGAGCTCTTCCATGTCCTCCTGCCAGGTCTCACTACTGTGATAGCTTTAAAAAGTCCTCCTTTCCAGCTGGTCCTGGAGTTTCCTCATCACCCACATTTAACTGAAATCCACCAGTTTCCAGGCAAACAGCATTTTTGCAGGGAATGGGACTACAGTGCAAGAGTTTGTTTCTGCAAGACTYTTAGCTCTGCCCCTGCCAGCAGCGCAACATCCACTATCATTTCCCCTCTTTGCTCCCTTTGTTGCCCAAGGCGTTTCGCCACATCCCCAAACCTTCCCTGCGAGGGCCCATCCGTGGCCAGGCTCCCCCTCAGACCGCGACCCCATCCCGGGGCTGCGAGTAGCTGTTGCTCGGTCTTAGTTGTAAGTTTCTTTTGCTTCCCCTCTGTTTTATACTGTTTTATCCTTCCACCGTCTTTAGCCGCTGTTTTATGTATTTTTTTTGCCTTTTCCCCCTGGTCTGTGGCTCCCCGCGGCCCCCCCGCTCTGGCAGCCCGCCCGGTTACACAAGCGRCCGCCATCGGCCCTGCGAGCGAGCGGGCGGCCAGACCGACCCCACGGCCCCACGCAGGGCACGGATCCCGCTCTTAGTCGTGCTGCCTCCTTTCCTATGTTGATTTTTTAAACTTTATTTCACATCTTGGCATCCCCTGCCGGAGACCCGCCCGCTCTCGCTGCCTTCGTGCTGCCCTGGTACCTGCCAGGTGCCCAGCCCCAGGGCGGGTATCTTCATCTTGTTGCTGAGCTCCACGCAGGGGATGGCCATGGTGCTGTCTGTCGGTCCGTCCGTCGGTCGGAGSCTGCTGCGGGCTGCCCGAGGCCGCTATAAGGAGCACAGCTGCCCCGGCCCCGCCCCGCCCCTCCCCGCTCGTCATTTGCGGCAGACGCGGGATGCCCGSCGGCCTGAGGCAGGCCCGGCCACAGAAATCTGGTGATGATTTATCTGTTTCTTTGTGCTGATTTATCTGTTTGTTTGAAAGCCAGGGCAAACGCCTCAGCCGCGGACTTGGCACTTGGCGTGTATTCTGCTTGGTCCAAGGTAGAGGTGGAATCGTCATCCCTGCAAGTGCTCCAAAGGTGCACAGATGTGGCACTTGGGGACATGGGTGGTGTCACACACGGGGACCGGTTGGACTCGATGATCTTAGGAGTCTTTTCCARCCCTAATCATTCTATGGTCCTGCAGGAGAGAGAGCTTGGCCTGCCAGAAGAATTTTGTCATGAGGCAATGGGTATCCTTTTGAGGATTTTCTCACTCTCAAGTGGTGCCAAATGGACAGTATTTTTAATATTTTTCCTCAAAAAAAAACCCAAATCCCTGTTGTTCACAAAGGAATTTTTCAAAAGTGAATGTGGCCTCATGTTTTAGCTCAGTTCGGTGTTCCCTGTCTTTGCAGAGGGGTGGGCTCCTCGCGGGACTGTGGCCTCAGTCTGTGTGAAGAAATCTCTTCCCAAGAAAGCTCCAGTTAGAATTTCAGCCAGTGCTGGTGGGGTGTCAGAGGCTGCAAAAAGGATTTGTGATCACACCTTGTTGACAGGTAGTGCTTTAGCCCAAATAACCCCTCTGATTTTTGCGAAGGGTGAAAAGACTGATATTTAAAGGTGTCAGGTGTGTGAGTGCAGTGYCTCAGGAATCAGGAGCCAGAGCCTGCAGGGACTGGGCTGCTTAGCTGGAGCGGTCTGGAAGAGGAGATTCTTCCCACTATAAAGCTGATGTAAGTCCAGCACCCTACATTAGGCATCTCACATGTCACAGAGCCCAGAGTTTGTGTTTGGTTGTCAGTGGGGATGCTTTGCTGCTTTTGCTGCTTTTTTTTTTTGCTTATATTGCTGTAAACTCCATCTGGCTCATTGCTGGTCCCTGACTACCAGTTTACATCCATTGGAGTTCCATTGGTGTCATCTTGTGACTTGTACAGCGTGAATGAAAATTAAATATTTTATGCTTAGTCTTAAAATGTTTGCTTATCAAAATAAAAAGGCAACTGTGARTTATTGAGCTACTAACCGTGATGTTTGATGCAATTCATTAAAATTTACGTGCATTTGCATTATTTAAACTGCTTTTATAGGACAGTATTTTCAGTTGGTTGGCAAATGCACGTTCTGGATTTATATTTAAATAAAATCTCTTCCTGCTGTCCTTGGCCTGGTTTCTAAGCCATTGGCTTAACCAAGCCTTATTGTTATCTTTTTGCTGCCATGGATGTCATCACACATTGCAGAATGGAAAAAATACCCAATTGATATGAAGCAGAGACAGAGAAACAGGGGATCAAATTTTCAAAATGACTGGTAACTCCAGTGTGGTCAAACTAGAGCAGCGAGAGGAGATGTCTTGTATTGAAAACAAATATGAAAAAAAAAAAAAAAAAAAAAAAAAAAAAAAAAAAAAAAAAAAAAAAAAAAAAAAAAAAAAAAAAAAAAAAAGACAAAGCTACTATAAGAGGTGTGATGAATTTGACAGAAAAGAGAGAAAGATCTACCAAAAAAGAGAGAGAAAAGCCTGTTGAAATTTTATAAATTTAAACTGTTTTAAAGGCCAGAAAGGGCCACACTATTTTTTTTTATGCTGATCTTCAATTACATTGAAAAGACTTTACACCAAGCCTATGTCATATCCATATTATTAGTCAGCAATAGGAGCTGACTAAACTTATATAGAGAATAGACTAGAAAATGCTGAGATTGAGCTGTTAAACTACCTTTAGACCCTGTATAATCGCYTTTTTTCCCCAATTGTGTAACAGAGCCATTAGCAATTTTCCTCCCTGTAAATCTTTACAACATTAATGGTTTTGAAGTGAACTTCCTGCACGCCAGGGAGGAGCAGGGGGAGGTTTTGGCTACTCAGCCACAGCATGGGCTGGCAGGGGAGAATAGCTGTAASGACACAGTTATGTGTACAGGCTTTTCTATCCAAGCATTTTTGTTCTGATTTCTTTATCTGCACGGAGGAAGGTAAGTCATCATTTAAAGCCCTATAAAACATCATTAATGAGTGTTTAAAAGGCTTTAATTTTTTTTAACTGCTATTATTTGCTGCATGCTGTATAGGTGGTGACTGAAGCCCATTCACTTCAGCTTTTTAACTGAGTCATGGTGATTTCACTCCCTGCAAAGCCTGGCAACTCCCTTGAGCACCCTGCTGTGCTGTTTCAATGAATCAGTGTGCAGATACAGGCAGTGACTTGTCCATAACCTTGTTAATCATGGCCATGGGTTGCTATCACCTGTCTGAAAATTTTCTAGTGTCTGATTTGGAGTTGTCCCTCCTTTTAGTGACTTTTCTAGAKAGTAATGGTGCTCCTTCTTTATCAGCTTTTGCTGAAATGCAAAAATGCAAATCTCTTATGTGGCCAGTGTAATGCTATAGGGAATGTTTTGTTCCACAAAAAATCGTCGAGCCATTGAAGTTGGRAAAGATCTCCAAGATCATCAYRTCCAACCTTCAGAGAGGAARGTTTTTAGTCAGAAAGTGCCAACATGAATCAGCCTTGCTGTTAGTGTTCCTTGGGAAATAATGTGCATTATTTTCCTGAACTAATCCTAAGGAGTCTGTCACAAGTGTCATCATAGCTGACAAAACATTGCAATGGATTGGTTGCAACAATAATGAAACAACAAATGTGACTCTCTGAGCTGTTAAGAAGGTAGGTATTGCTATTTATGTTTTAGTAAAACTTGGGTTTCTTTTTTCCCCCGTGAGTCTAAAGGCATACTGGGCAGCTTTTCAGAATATGCAATGGGTGAAGGTTGAGACATAGCACAGAATTATGGAATGGTGAGATGGGAGGGGACCTCTAGAGTTCACCCCGTCCTTCTGCTCAAGCAGGGCCACTGAGAGAGTAGGTTGCTTGGAGCTGTGTCCAGATGGCTTCTGAATATCCCTAAGGAAGGATGCACAACATTTCTGGGTGAAGTCTGCCCATGCTCAGTTACCTTTGCAGTAAAAAAAGTGTTTTGTAATGGTAGACGTACCTCCCTCTGTTTCACTTTGTACCCATTGACTCTCCTCCTGCCACTGGGCACCCCTGAAAAGAGCCTCAGTCCCCTTTGCACCTTCCCTTCAGGTATTTACACACATTACAAGATCTCCTTTGAACTTTCTCTTCTCCAGACTGAAGATCCTCAACTCTTCCAGTCTCTCCTAAGAGGAGGGGGCTTTAGTCCCTAAATGCTCACCTGAATGCTCTGCTTTTGGCTGATACAATCCCTGTCGTGCCCTCCCAGAGCACCCAGCCCTGTGCACCTGCAGGCTGCAGCCGGTGGGTGTGGGCAGGGTGAGCGTGGCAGTGCTGCTCAGGGTGTGGCTGGCACTGGGCAGGAGGTGACCATTTTGCTGGGGACCTTTTTGTAGGATGCCCGTGGCCAGCAATGAACCCATTTTTTCACTTTCGTACTATACTCTATCACAGTCTGCAGTGGGTTTCTGAATTGCTGTGTGCTCTTAGCCTTTCTCTAAAATGAAAAGTGAACCACTTCCCCCTAACTTACAGCAGCAAAGGTCTACTCTAACTGAGACAGAACTACTTCTATCAGTCTTGTTTGCACTCTGTCATGTCCATGGATCTGGCAATGTCAGTAGGACGTAGTACATCAGCAGTGAAGAAAATTTTATGTGAGAAATATGTATCTAAAATTCTTGATTGATTCCCCTCTCCTTGAGTGCTGACAGTGCCCAAATTTATCTGTAAGTTGTGGATTTTCAGTACTTGCTGAAATAATTTCCCTGCAGCAGCTGCCTTTGGAGAGATTATAAGACACCAATTTTAGTAACATTAACATGAAGCTTTTCACCAAAACTCCAAAACCAGGATTAGAAATTCATTGGAAAGAATCACCAGAGCTGCACTGAATCCCAAGCTCTGTCCTGTTTCTCCAGTATGGAGGCACATTTGCTCCCTTCTCTTTGGGGCTGCTCTGCGACCTTGGGGATTCCTCTTAGATCCTAAAGTGAAGCCATTTGAGCTCTCCTGGACCACARTGGGCTGTKCCAGCACCTCCCTGRGAGTGGGATGCCTCTCAGAGCTCATGAGCCYRAAGTCTGTGATTCYTGKAGGACTGTTGCTGAAAGCTGATMGTGGGGCCTGGGTTGATACCTCCACTCCTTCACCCACTGAGAGATGCAAAGGCATCCAATGTGAKTATTTCACTGCACTCAAGTGGAATTTTGAAAAAGGTACCTTTGTGCAGATAGATATAGATATCTGTGTTTGTGTGTGCATGCCTGGGAATTGATTCAAACAACCTCTCAAGTACAGTAGGAATAGTACTATCTTGAATCTATAATTAGGGCACTCTAGTAATTGTATTAAAGCCTATTGAATCACTTTATAAATATTAAATTAGTCAATGATTAAGTGCTGCTAAGCCCTTTTGCACCCTTACCCTTTTGCACCATCACCCTTTGCCCCTTTACTATTTTGCATCYCTGGTCTCCATGTAAATTATTCTGGATCGATTCTRATCCGATTTTCCTTTGAATTTTTTGTCCATGTAGTAAGTGATGGAGTAAATCTTGCCACTGAACTCCATTAAGTCACATTTTTACACATTTATGTTAAAACCTGCTTTCACTRATACCTATGACAGTGATTCTTTAAGCAGCCCAGYGCACTCATTGGCCACATCCCATGAGCACATGCTTTGCGAATATTCATAAGAGCCTTGAGTTMAATCCTGTGAGGGCTTTCTCCAGTTTAGCAGTTGTGCAGTCTGCTACTTACTCCTTGGTTTCAGGGCCCTTCCTTTCCTCCTTTGAATTTTGGAGTTCTTCCATTGTAGTTTTTTGAAAAGAGCTGAG